AATCTCCATATTTTGTAGTGACACCTTTGACCTATACAGAGGATGAGTCTAACTACTGCTGGTGTTATATTCTTACCGTTATTTTTCACTTATTTCTCATTCTTTTTAATCTCCACTTCTTTCTTTTTAACAGATAGTATCTGAAAGATTAAGGGAAAATTTAGAGGACATGAGGAAGGAAACAATTTGACTAGATAGGTCAGATTAGCATTTGTGATTAGCAATCTAAAATGTGATGATGTAGTTTTCTGAAAGAATTTATAGTTTTTCTTTCATTTCTCTAATTTTCTTAGTTCCATATGTCTCTGGAATAAAAATCCATTTGTCATCTTTCTCTTATTGATCATCAAAGATCTGAGATATTCCTTTATGTAAGCCATCAGAATTTTTCATTGCTTTATAGTCCCTCAGACATCACATAATTCTGGAACTCAATCTGTCAATAGCCTGACAGCATCAGTGTCACCCAAACAGATACAATGCTGCCCAATAACCACTCAGGTTGAGAAGTTGTGCACTTTAGCTTCACCAGTGTTATTTCTGCCTTAGCAAGAGAAACACACAGAAAAGTGGCCTGTTTGGGCTGCCATTTACTTTGGAATAATTTAAGAAACCTTTTAAGCAGACTTGCACCTTTAGGGAATATTGTAGATTTTTCCTTTCCAAAATTAAAATAAACTTTTACTGGAGCAAATTAGTGGCAGAAGTACAAATTATTTTTAAACCAAATCAGCTTCATTTGAGAGAGGCCTTTAAGGGGAATGTGGATCCCTCTGAAGCAACGTTTGCAGTTTTCTGTCCCTCCTGTATGATGGAGGCAGTTGCCATCTCGGACAGTTATGTCCTTGGCGACATGATGGAGAGAAACTTGAGCGAGCCACTTCATGACTTTTCCCTCTTGCCACACTCATTAGCTTTGAGTAGTACCAGTTGACTTTATGGCTGCTCAGTCCTACAGAGATAATTTAACATCTATTTTCAGAGATTATGAATGAATTTTTTTCTAGATTAATACAAAACTTTTCTTTCTTGACTCTCCACGTGTGCCACAGGGACAACAGGAGAAGTATCTGAGACTGTGGAACTCAGAAGCATGACCCTGTGGTTACAGGGATGTCCTCTGAAATTTAGGACATCCTAAATTTAGGAATACTTACTGAGCATGGGGAATTCTGGCAAAAATTTGCTTCAGTCTGATCTCATCTGTCTCTTCTGGGATAGGAAAATATTAGGAAAAATATTGCATATGTTTATTGTGCCCCTATCCTCTTCTCTCCACAGCCTCTCATCATGACCATTGCTGGATGGGTTAGATGGACCACTGGCTTGATTCCACTTTGCTGTTTGCATGTTGTGGTGTTCTGGTTGCTGGCTTCTAAGGCAATGTGTTCATTTTTCAATTTGACATTCACATTTTATTTATAACTCTGATTATTCCTATGGTTTTTGCCATACTTTTCTGTTTATCTTTTTGATTTACTGTATCTTTCCATATTTCAGATATTGTGTGTCTGTGTCAAAAAGTGGTTTGCAGCAGTTATTCTTTGTTCCCCTCAGGCAGCACAGTTCTGAGGAACTCTTTTCTAAATAACTTTAAAATGTACTGTATGGGAGAACAAGTTTTCACAAAACGGGAATCATAACTGCATATGTAACACTTCTAGGAAGAATATGATTCTCCAGGAGTTAATTTTACAATACTTACTTACAAGTTACAATACTCATCAAACAATAATATTTTGCACATCTAAACTAAAATATTTGAGCATAAATCCTATGGATTCAAGTGCTCCTTGAGAAGTTATTACTATGCTGAAAATCAAATGAATCCCACTGAAGTCTATGGCTTAATTTAAGTATTCAATTTACATGACTTTAATCCATTTATTTAAATCATTCATGAAAATGAGATCAGAGATAAAATGTACAGGTCATTGTTGTGGGGTTTTTTGTTTGTGTGGTTTGGGTTTTTTTATTTCTGGAGTTACAGAACACATCCACAGTTCTCAGTTTTCAGTTAATGAGAATCCAGATGCATTCTAAACCTTGGCCCTAGACAGACTTATCAGTATCATTTTTCCAATGAGCCAACACATAACATTTTCCTTTAAGAGAATGTAATCTTAAATGTTTTATTAAATCTATTTTGAAATCATGTCAGTGTCATTAATAAACCATCATTTGATGATTAGTTTTCCCACTTGTAAACTTTAGTTATTAAAAATGATATTCAGCTAAATTTACAATGTATGTTAATGTTACCTTCATTTTATTACTAAAAGACAGTACATCAGATCCAAATAAAAGGTACTGATACTCCAGACAGGATTATACTGGTGGTGGTTGTATTAAAAAAACACAAAAAACTAAATTGTTGAACTACACTCAATTCCAGAGCATCTTTAGAATCCAGAACACCAAGAAAAGTGGCACTGATTCCAACACTAGCTTCTCTACAGAGTGTAAAACAACAAAAAAAAAATCTTGGAAAATCAAATCA